TGGCAGCTCAGGGCACAAGGTGGGAACCAACTCTGGATAGGAAGCCATTCCATTCAGCGTGCGCTCACACATACCAATTAACCTAACCTGCACATATTTGAGATGTGGGTGAAGCCAAAAAAGCCAGAGAAAACCCATGAAGACACAGGTAGAAAATACAAACTTCACATAGTGACCTATACCAGAATCAATCTTTTTTTCCCTCAGCAACACTGTTAACAAAATGTCATTAAACTAGCAATATTATTCAAAGATCTGCTGTCTAACAATATGAGCAGACTTAAAGTAAAAGAATGGAAAAAGACAAGGAAAGCAATCAAATGAAAAAGAAGAGTGGCTCTAATAGTATCAGATAAAATAGAATTCAGGGCAAAGAAAATTACTGGAGAAAGTGCAAAAACATTAAATTGCAGGTCCTCAAATGGCATCATTTTGTTTGACATCATTTTTGTTGTAATGATGAGGGAAAAATCCTGGCCAATGTTGAATGAAGCAACACTTTCATTGTATGACATTCTAAAATTGCATTTTCTAAGAACCAATTAACAACACTTAGTGAGGACTTAGTGTATAATAAAAAGGATCAATCCACAAGAAAACATAGCAACCTTAAATATGTATATACCAAACAGAGAACTGTAAGTATGTAAAGCTAATAATTAATATAACCTAAAAGGAGAAATAGACAAATGCCTAAGTAGTGTTAGAGATTTCAACACCCCTCTCTAAGCAGCTGACAGGATAGCTAGATAGAAAATCAGCAAGAATATAAAGAACTCAGCAACGCCAGTCAATAGGATCTAACTGACATTTACAGAATATTCCACTCAACAGAAGAAAACATATTCAAGTGTCCACAGTATACCAGAGCCATGAGCCTTAAAACAAATCTCAACAAACTTAAACCTAATCACTGTGTTCTCTAATCACAACAGAATCAAACTAGAAACCAAAATCAAAAGATAATAAGAAAACAGGAATAGATAATAGGATAAAAGGAAGAACTGGAAACTAAGCATACTTCTAAAATCATGGGTCAAAGGAAAACGGAATGAAATACTACTCATTAATGAAAAGGAATGAATTACTGATAAACATAACAACCAGGATGACTTTTAAGTGTACTATGTATACAGAATAGGGGGAAAAAAGCAATTCCAAAGGTACTTATTTTTGTTAAAAAAAAATCTTGAGGGGCCTCCCTGGTGGCACAAGGGGTTAAATGTCAGTACTATGAAGTGGTCCATCAGTACTATGAAGCAGTCCGCAGCCTCTGCAGCATGAGTTTGATTCCTACCAGGGAGGTACCCACACAGCACAGCAGACTCTCCTGTCTTGCCCGCTGCTCCCTTCAGCAGTGTATTCCAGTCAATCTGCCTGTTCTGCTCCCCACTGTCTCTGGTGAATCCTCTCACTACCACCCCCAACCTCTGCACTACACCCCAGCTCTTGTATGCATAAATAAATAAATCTATAAAAAAATCTTGAAATGACAAAGTTATAGAAATGGAGAACAGATTAGTAATTGTCCGGGCTTAGGGAGGTGTGAAGGTGGGTGGGGAAGTAGGTGTGGCATATAAAAGAACAAGAAGCAGAAACTTTGTGGTGATGGAAAGCTTCCTATTCTGGCTGTAACATTGACACTATCCTGGGCCTGATATTGTATTATAGTTTTAAGACGAGACCAGTGGGAAAAACTGACTTAAAAGGTACAAAGGGTTATTCTGCATGTGGACCCACAATTATATCACAGAAAAGTTTAATTAAAAAGTCAACCTTCACTCACTGATAGTCATCTAAATGCTAACACTCAACAGCACTTTATTAATCCTGGCTTTGTGCTGCTCACATAGTGAGGACACAGAGATATAAATGTAAAGTATTATTTTCAAAAACCACATGCTCAGGTATAAATGAATAGTGAAAGATTTCATAAAGGAGATGAAGATGAAATGTGGGCAAGTCCTGGAGTAAGTACTGCCAACAGTCTTTTCTTTATAGCACAAGTTGTAGTTACTAAGTATTTATCTGCATTTATTTGATCTGTTTAATGATGTCCCATCTCCAGTTATCTTGAGTATCTAGCACTAGGTCTGGCACACATTAAGCACTCGAAAAATACTGAATAAACGAACGTATTCATTTCTCATTCTCTATCAGTCAGACCCACTCCTTGTCCTCCATTAACTGACACTCCATTTGCCTTGGTTCCTCTCTGACCTGCCTCTTTCAGCTAATTTCGCCTTCATTCTTGCTCCTGCACCTCAGTCCAGTCCTTAATACATCATATAAATAAAAACTCAGTTTATTTTTTTTTATTTTTTTTATTTATTTGTTTGTTTGTTTGTTTTGTTTATACAAGCACTTGGTACAGTCAGAAGTGCGGGAGGGTGAGAGAATTCACCAGAGCCAGAGCGGGGAGCAGAGCAGGCAGAAGGACCGAAAGGTCAAGGACCGAAGGTCACTGCTGAGGGGAGCAGCAGGCAGCAGGAGAGGTCTGCGCGCCATGTGGGACCCTCCTCTGGTGGCCGGGGAACAGCCGGGGATCGAACCAGCGCCACAGAGGCCGCGGGCAGCTTCGCAACCCAGCGCTCAACCGCTGCACCACCAGGGAGGCCCAAAACTCAGTTTATTTTTAAACAGTGGTTCACAATAGCAATGTTGTATCGCTCTTCTGCATCTCAACCAATTAGCAACTACATCAAAAGAAATCTATTACTGCAAATAAAATACTAAAAGGTGTACATCTCCACACAACATGAACAAGTAAGAGCGGAAAGTTATCCCTGTCTTAACTTTACATTCTTGAATATGAGAGCCTTTTTCCAGAACTGGATGATCCTATCTGGCCTGTGAAAAGATGTACTTTAAAGAGAGCCAAGACTCCCTGAGTCTACCCAACCGATGAAAAGAAAAGCCTGAGAAACTATCATAGAGCAAAGACAAAGGAAACCCAACAAACTAAATGCAATGTGGTACCTTAGATTAGATCCAGGAACAGAGCGAGGATATTAATGAAAAGCTGGTGAATTTCAAATAAGGTTTGGAATTTAGGTATACACATTAAGATTCAAATTTACTAATATTATTTTTATATTATTAAAAAGATGGGATAGGGCATACAAGTGAGTCAGACCAGGGTAGCTGTGGCTTCAAGCTTAAAAGCTACATAGATCCACCTTCATTTTGACACTGGTAGCAAGCCCTCACCTGATACCGTAAGAATTAGCTTGACTGCTTGAGATTAACAACCAGTTTTGAGTTCTCAGCAGGCTCATTTATATATTCAACGAGCATTTACTGTGTGCCTCCTGCTTAGCAGGTGCTACGAAGTCTCTGGGGATACATGGTTGGAAAAGGAAGACACAATCTCTGCTCTCATAAAGCTTATACTCCATTGGAGAAAGCAGGCGTTTAACAAGTATAGGCATAAACAATGAGTGCTCCCAAGAGTTTTTCAGCCTGCTTCTTAAATGCCCTATGAAACAATGTATCAGAACATTTGTTAAGCCCAGTTATAATTGGTGTTTAAATAAGGTTATTTGTGCACACAAATAACATGGAAATCTTTCATGTTCAGTTGTGTGCTGGGACCTGAGACTTTGCATTTCTTCCAAACTCCCAGCTGATAGGGATGCAGCTGCTGGTCCCTAAACTACACTTTGAATTAGCATTGCCGTAAAGTATCAAGGAGACATCCTTCAAACTACGATGCAAAATGCAAGTTCCATAAAGGCAATTAACAGTTGGTCTCTCTTATTCAACATATACACCCAGAAGTTAAAACTACCTTACAGATAGCACTCAATAAATATTTATTTGCTGAATAAATGGATGTATGGTCTAGACAAGTGCTAGTTTTCAGTGTGACTAGGGGGGCTACTGAACACTGGAAATGTTGTCAGTAGATAATTTTCTTTAATTTCACTAGCCACATGTGGCCAGTGGCTACCACAGGGACCATTCCAGGTCTAGACATAGAAATGCTGTAAAGAGCACCGGATTCATCAGGCCTAGGTTTGAACCTCAGCTTTGCTGCTTAGATTTGAGACCTGGAAAGTTACAACTTCTTAGGGCCTAAACTTCACGTGCAAAATGAGGACAAGACACCCTGCTTCTCTGGGTTCTTGACAGGAAGTATTACAAACAAATGCATTAAGCATAAGGTGTGATTAAAGGTGACATTCTCTCTCCCCCAAGCCCCTCACAAAGACTACTATACCTACAGCCCACACCTGCCAGAAAAAGTTAAGGGTTAAGGGCATGTGGTTGAAGGGCTGGTTAGCTCAGTGGCTTTGAAAATTGAGGCCAAGGTCACCAGTTTCGAAGAGGGGGGACCCTCACTCAAGCAGGCTGAGAAGGTGGGAGAGGCAGTGACAATGCAAATCACCACCACTCCCGGCAACCTTTAAATGAGCGTGGCATTGATTACAGATGAGTAAATGACATTTCATTCATTCATTCTTCCAGGAAGGGCTGCCAAATAGCTAAAGCCCGCTACTCCCCAGGCACCGATATTTGCTAATTTAGGGCTAGATCCTGTTCCCCGGCAGTGGCCGGGGAAGCCCCCGCCCCGGGCCGCCCTCGTGTCCTCCCCTCCCCCGTCGCGCCGGCCCAGCGAGGGTCAGCCTGGCACCGCGGCTCCAAGTACCCGCACGGCCGGCCGGAGCCCAGAAGCCATATTTAGCCGTATATTTGGTCAATAAAACAAACTTCCGTCTTCTAAAGAAAAACGGTTCTAACTCAATGTCAAACTAGGACGGAAACTCGCCGCTCACTGCAGTTGCCAACCGGAGACGTCGCCCGTCCAGGAGCCGCGGAGTCCCCGGCCCGGCCCCCGCGCCCCGCGCGCCCGCGCCCCGGCCCCGGCCGCGCCGGTCACAAAGGGACGGGAGCGGCGGCCGCGGCCCGGCCTCCGCCCGGCCCTCCTCCTCCTCCGCCCGCGACCCCGCGCGAGCGGTCACGGCCCCGGGACGGCCCGGGCGCGAGCCGGCACTCACCTCAGTCCGCGCGCGCGCGGCGGCGGCGGCGGGCGCTCCTCAGGGCCGGCCCGGGCAGTCGCGGCGCGGTCCCGCGGGCCGCAGCGCGGGCGCTAATCTCGGGCCGCCGTCCGCCGCGCCGCCTCCTCGGCCACTGCCGGCGGCTCCCCCGGCGGGCGGGCCCGGCGCGGGCCCCGCCTCCGCCGCGCCCGCCCCCGCCTCCGCGCCGGGCCTGGGGGCTCGGCGCGCTACTCCGGGCGGCTCTGCATGCCGCCGCCGCCGCTGCCGCTCGCTCGGGGCCGCCTCCGCGCGGCGGGCCGGGGCAGCAGGGCCGCCCGCGCAGGCCGCTCGGGCGCGGTCCTCCCTGCGCGCGGCGTGCTCGGCGGCGGCGGCCCGTGCGGCTGCGCGGGGGAGGCGGGGGCGCCGCGCGCTCACCCGGATGCGCCGCCCCTCGCCCTTGCGGCGAGCCCACCGCGGGGCCGCGGCGCGTCCCTCGGGGCCGGGGGCCCGCGCTCCCGGCGGCCTGGGCTCGCGCGGGGGGCCCGCGACCCGGCCGGCCCCGCCGACCCGCCGGTGGCTCCCCCTGACCCCCGCGCGGACAAAGAGCCTGTCGCGGCAAGTAAAATGAAACTCGGGCCGTTTCTCGTCGAGCCCGTCAGGGGCGGGGAGGAAATGGAGGTGCCCTCACCGCGCCGAAGTGGTCCCGGGGTCGGCCGGGGAACGGGCACAAAACCGCCCCTGGCCCGGGGGGCGCGCCCGGGAGCGGCCGAGGCCGGAGTGGAGCTGGAGAACGGGCGGCGGCGGCGCCTTCGCGCGACCCGGCTGGGCCCCGCGCTGGGCGAAGGGGAGCCCCGAGATCCCGGACCCAGGGTGGGCGGCGAGGGGAGGCCAGCGACCGGCCCCGCCGGAAGAGGCAGCCGGGCCTCGGGGGACGGACGCCCCGGCCCCCCGCAGAATGGAAACTGGCTGGGGAAGCGTCTCCCGCGCCGTGCCTGAGGGGGCCCTGCCGGGGTGCCCTCTCGAGAACGCTGCTCCTCGGCCCTGTGCCGGTACCTGGCAGGAGCTTACCCTGGAGAAGACAAAATCCCGGTCCTCTTGTCCCTCACATTAGGCGTTACCAGCCGTTCTTTTAATAAATGAATTTTCTACTTAAGTCATTCAGAGGTCTGTGTCCCTTGAGTGCCCGCCAGGAACTGGAATGATAAAGAGACGAATGTTTACGATAGTATTTAAATGGCCCCATTAAAAAAGAAATAAATGTTACTATATGTTTATAGAAAGAACCAAAAGGCTGTGAGGAGGAAAACGTTAGCGAAGATTAACTCTGGAATTTATCCTATTTTCGGCTTATCTCCATTCCCCAAGTATACTAAAATTAAAGTCAAACGTTGCTTTTTAAAAAGTACTTATGTAATATTTTGAAACAAAGTGACTCATGATTAACCTTTTAATGTACCACAAGGAAACAGCACTTTGAAGTTTGGATCTCTTTGGTGAGTAGCACGCGTAGGGCAGCTCCATTGCTTTGCATGAGGAATCGGCATGAAGAGAATTTAGAAACCTAATTTTGGGGGTATTTGTGCAGCTGGTAATGGGAACTGTTTGGGGAAGTGTCTCCCGCGAAGTGCCTGAGAGGGGTCCTTCCATGGTGCCCTCTCAGAACATTGCTTCTTGCCACTAATTCCATTATCTAGCCGTAGCTTACCCCGGAGAAAACAAGCCCCGGTCCTCTTGTCACTTAAATTAGGCGTTAACAACCGTTCTTGTAATAAATAATTTTTCTAAAGTCATTCATGTTTCTGTCTCGATTGACTTCCCCAAATACCATATGTTAGGAAGAAGTCTATATAAATGGTATATCTGATAAAAGACTTCAAAATCTATGGAAAACCCTTACCACTCAATAAAAGTAATAATCCATTTTAAATTGGGTAAAAGAATCCAACAGACATTTTTTACCAAAGAAAATATTTCAGTGGTCAACAGTGGCTTGAAAAGATGCTCAATGTCTTTTGTCACTAGAGAATTGCAAGTCACAACCATTATAATGGCTATTGTAAAAAAGACAATCACCAATGATGGTGATGAGATAGAGAAATTAGAAACCCTCATGCATTGCTAATGGAAATGTGAAATGGTGCGGACACTGGGGAACGATTAAGTTCTTTAAAGGTTATACATAAAAATGCCATCTGACCCAACAGTTTGACTCCTAGATGTATACTCAAGAAAATGGAAAACATGTCCATATAGGAATTTGTATACAAATATTCATAGCAGCATTATTCATAATAACCAAAAAGTTGAAGCTATCTGAATGTCCAACAACTGGTGAACAGATAAACAAAATGTGGTATATCCATTTATGTTGTAACTATAAATATCCATGCAGAAGTACCTCAAATCATTAAGCTAAGAAGCCAGATGTACATGAGCACATATTGTGTGATTGATGAAATGTCTGGAAAAGGCAACTACAATATATAGAGTTAGTTGTTCAGTGGTTGCCCAGGACTGGGGTTGGGGGAGTGACTGCAATGAGCATTAGAAATTTTTTTAGAGTAAGGAACTTCATACATTTACTAAAAATTGAGTTGTACATTTGAAACTAGTGAACTTTATGGTACATAGATTTTTACCTCAAGAATCTGTTACACAGTGCTGTATGTCAATAAAGGAAAAAAATCTAAGTATCATTAAGTAGCCCAAGCTAATATAATACTTAATCAAGTTGCAAGTCCTTTGCAATAGAAAAACTTAATACAAATGGAAAATTGTAAAAGGTAATAAAATGCACTTTTTGCAACCAGTTGTGTATAACAAAGCACAAGTACTCTTGAACTCCCCCAATCCACCCACTCCTATTCATTCAAAAACTGTATCTTCACTTTACCCACTACAAGAACTACAAATGGAGTAGAAAAAAATGAGCATGTTTGAAAGCAGAAAAAAACTGGATGCCTTACAACAAAGAGAGGTATAAGGGCACTGATTGGGAAACGAAGGGACACTGATAGAATCTTTCACAGTGTTAGTCTTGCTTCCCTTTGGCCTTATGCCCTGAATTCACACGCTTCCTCCAGTTGTGTGCTTCCTCCAGATGTGTGGTTCAGTGGGAGAGCTGCCTTTCAGCTGTATAATGGTATGGTTTAGCATTTTTCATGATTTTATGAACTGTTCATTATTTCTGTGATTTTGCCATTGAAGAATATTCTAGGAAATTAAAAAGTGGAGAGACATCGGAAAGTGCACTATCAGGCCTCCCTGATGGTGCAAGGGGTTATGTCTCAGCGCTACGAAGCTTTCCGCAGCCACAGTAGCAGTAGCTGTAGCGCAAAGTGATCCCTCGAAAGGGAGCTGACCCACATGGCACAACAGATCTCTCCTGCCTCGCCCACTGCTCCCCTCAGCAGTGTGTTTCAGTAGATCCACCTGTTCTGCTTCCCACTCTGTCTCTGGTGAATCTTCTCACCACCACCGCCACCTCTGGCCTACACTCCAGCTCTTGTATGCATAAATAAATAAAATGAACGTTAAAAAAAAATTAGAAAAGAAAGTGGACTATCCCAAAAGATGCTGACCTGCCCTGACATTTCCTCACCATAGTGCTTGAGAAGTACTCCAGGAGAGCTGCTCCTATGAGTAAATTATTAGCTTAGTTCATTGTTTCTATAAAGCCTTTTAAAAATGATTGTTATCTAAATTACTGCTAATATCCTTTTAACTTATGAATGAAGACTACTTGTTCCCAATTAATGAGAAAGCAAGAGAATAGCACCTAGGTTGGATTAATTGCAACTGGGAGATTGTCAAAATCAGGGTGAAGTGCCCAAGAATAATTGATCCTTGTGGTAGGTGGTGAGGAGGAGAGAAGGGATCTGTTACACAGGGTTGCATATGAAACATCCTGACAAGACTGGAAAGAACAGAAGGTAGTGACATAGAAAGAGGGACAGACAAATACAAGCCCAGGAGTCAAGGGACATGAAGTAGGTGGTAATCACAGAACACATAAATGCTATCATTTTATGTTTTTTCTACTCTTTTACTTGGTTTGCTTTTCCAGCCAAATGCCTAGATACCCTGCCTGCTAGCTCATACCTCAGGAGCATGGGTGCACTTCCAGCTCTCCTTAACTCCCCAGCCCATAGTAGCACATCCTCACTGTCATGGCCACTGCACTGCTCTGCTGCCCAGGGAAAAAACGGGCAGGTTGGATGGAGGCCTGATCACAGTTTGGCTGATCCATTGGGTGGTGATCATAGGTCAGGTAGTGAGAGTCTGTCAGCATGGTGAGGGTGGTGCTGGTGGGGGCCATGGGGTGGGGGGCTGACAAAATGGTGGGCATAAGGAATCAGAGGATGCCTCACCTTGGATCTGGTGATAAGAGCCATAACTCTTAGGCATATGTGAGCAGAGGGAAGGTAATAGTGACAATAGTTGTGGTATGATTACCAGATGACTATATCCCAAACCCCAAATCCTGGTAGCTTAAAACTATACCAGTTTCTTTCTAGTCCACTGTCCGGGGCCCCGAGGAGCTGTGGTGCAGTAAGAATGCATATCATTAAGGAAGCAGCCAGTGGGACAAAGCAGCCAATGGGAGGAACGCATGTGTATAGCACACTATGTGCACGAGCCAGGCATGCAGGGAAAGTACCAACCAAAAAGAAGCACGCAGCCTGAACATGAGACACAGGCAAAGCGCAGGCGCAGCACAGGGTATATAAGGCATGTGCTAGAGGAAGTAAAGGTCCCCCGTTTTGTACCTTCTCATCCAGTGTGTCAGCCTCTCATTTCATCCCCAGCCCCTCTTCTGTGCCTCTCGAATCCCGCGGGTCCGGACAGGTGGCGCCCAACGTGGGGCACGGACACGAGGGACTCGCTGAGGGACCAGTCTCCGGATAAGACAGCCGTGCATTTACAGTAAGTGGGGGAGACTGGGAATCATGGGCACCGGTGTGTCCAAGGGGCAACTAGTGCGTGCCTTACAAATATTACTTGAAAATTACGGCACCCCAGTTAAGGTTCGGGCTGTGCAACTCT